TTAATGGTGAGGATGGTAGGACTAGGTTACAGAAGTATAAATTTTGGCAGGGTAGGAGTCATCTTCAACTTAAGACAGTTTTATTTTTCTAACAGAGTAGTGGGCCTTTGGAATGGGTTGTCTTCAGATGTGGTGAAGGCAGTAAATTTAAGTTAGTTTAAGGGAAGGCTTGATAAATAACCAAGTGATAAGGGCTGGCTGCGAGTTCTTTTTTTTGTAGTTTTAGTTTAATTTAATGGATGGGACAGTCTAGATGGACCAGTAGGACCCTTGTTGTCCCTAAATATTGTTAAGAGAAAATCAAAGGTCACAACTTGTTGTTGGGTAATAAATTTCAAGTATTTGTTTCTTTATTGCAAATACAATTTAAATATATACATGTAAAGTTAATTCCTTATGTATAGTCTGGAATATTATAAAAATGTAAGTATACAAACTGAAAAAAAAAAAAATGGATACACACATAGAAAATGGAGAACTCAGACACCCAAAATTTCAGCCCTAGACCTTCAGCATCTTATATTGTGTTCTATGGTGCGAGGATTCAGATAATTTTTGAAGGAACCCAGGCTCATGTCTGTGTTACTGTTTAGTAATTATGTTGTGTTTAATAGATGTTTCTTGATGTTTATAACAGTTTTGGGAAAAAGAGCATTTTTTGAGGAATCTTTGTTTTGTGAACACTTTCTATTGATGCCACAAGTATGAAGTTTTAAATATATAGATGGGGCATTATTAGAGAGACTCACTTACCAGTGTAACTGATATAACAAACCAATATTTCTTTACAGGAACCTATTCTGTCAAAGTCACAGCCTGCATTTCAGTATAGTAGTCATGTGAGTCTTCAAGCCCCCAGTGGACACATGTGGTAAGTTTTGTTAGAAGTCACACGAGTTTTCAAACCTCCTGTGGACACATGGTAAGTTGTTAGCAGTTACAACCTACTTTTCAATGTAGTAACAATGTGAGTCTTTAAACCCAAGTGCATACATCTGGTAAGTTTTTCTCAGAAATCACAACTTATCTTTCAATATACTAATCACATGAATCTCCAAGCCCCACTGGACACGTGGTAAGTTGTTAGCAGTTACAACCTACTTTTCAATGTAGTAACAATGTGAGTCTTTAAACCCAAGTGCATACATCTGGTAAGTTTTTTTCAGAAATCACAACTTATCTTTCAATATACTAATCACATGAATCTCCAACCCCCACTGGACACATGATAAGTTTTCTTAGCAATCACAGACTGCTTTTCAGTACACTACTCATGGGATTTTCCAAACCCCCAATGAACACATTTTTAGCAGTCACAACCTGCTTTTCAATATGGTGGCCATGCGAGCCTTGGTTCCCAGTGGACGTGTGGTAAGTTTTGTTAGCAGTCACAGCCTGATTTCAATACAGTAACAATGTGAATCTTCAAGTCCCCAATGAACACGCATAGTAAGATTTGTTGGCAGTCACAGCCTGCTTTTCAGTATAGTAGTCATGTGAGTCTTTAAGCCCTGCATGGATACATGTGGTAAGTTATTAGCAGTATTAACCTGCTTTTCAGTGTACTAGCCACATGAGTCTTCAAGTCCCCATTGGACACATGAGGTAAGATTTGTTAGCAGTCATAGCCTGCTTTCCAATATAGTAGCTATGTGAGTCTTCAAGCTGCCAGAGGACATACATGGTAAATTTTATTAGCAATCACAGCCTTCTTTTCCATATAGTGGCCATGTGAGTCTTCAAGTCCCCACTGGACATGTGTTAAGTTTTGTTAGCACAGTCTTCTTTTCAGTATAGTAGCCTCATGAGTCTTCAATTCCACAGTGGACACGTAGTAAGTGGTTAGTAGCTTCAGCCTGCTTTTAAATATACTGGCCATGTGAGTCTTCAAGTCAGTAATGGACACATGAGGTAAATTATGTTAGCAGTCACAGCTTGCTTTTCAACATAGTAGCCATGTGATTCTTTAAACCCAAATGGACACATGAAGTAAGTTTTGTTAGCAGTCATAGTGTGTTCTTCAGTATAGTAGCCATGTGAGTCTTCAAGCCTCCAGTGGACACACGTGGTAAGGTTTGTTAGCAAACCCCACAGTGGACCCATGTGGTAAGTTTTGTTAGCAGTCACAACCTGCTTTTCAATGTACAGGACATGTGATACTTCAAGTCCCCAGTGGAAAATGGTAAATTGTTAACAATGATAGCCTGCTCTTCAATATACTAGCTATGTGAGTCTTCAAGCCCTGCATGGACACATGTGGTAAGTTGTTTGCACTACATCATTCAATGTACTGGCCAGGTGAGTTTTCAAGCCCCCAGTGGACACACCTGTTAAGTTTTGTTAGAAATCACAGTCTGTTTTTCAATATAGTAGCCATGTGGGTCTTCAAGCTGCCAGAGGACACATGTGGCAAGTTTTTTTTTAGTACTCATAGTACTTTTTAATGTACTGGCCATGTGAGTCTTCAAGCCTCCAATGGCCACATGTAGTGAGTTTTGTTAGCAGTCACAGCCTGCTTTTCAATATAGTGGCCATGTGAGTACTGAAGCTTCTAATTGATGCATGTTAAGTTTTGTTAGTAATTACAACCTACTTTTTAGGTTTGCTGTTTCTTGAATATTTAGAAATTGAATTTTTTTAAACTTCGTACATAAAAATGTGCAAATTTGTAAGAATTCAAAATAAATCTTTGGACTATGAGTTTTTATTATCATTTAACATCATATGTACTCTTTAGGGCATGCAGGGCTTCCTAACATGAAACATTTAGCAAATGTATTATTTCTTTAAAACATTCTTTGGTATTATAGAAATATATTAAGTATGTAAAGTTCAAAGGAAAGATTAAAGCATGAGTTTCTAACAGCATGGTAAAGTAAGTAAAAGAAAGTGGGGTTATTAGAAAGCACAACTTGTATGAAACTCATACAAACTCCTGAAACATTTAGTACACTAAGACATCAAAACCAGTATTTGAGAAATTCTTTAATGCTGTAGGTTTCTCTTTCAGCATTTACAGTGAGTCATACCACTGTATCTATTTGTCCACAAATATATATTCAGTTTTCTGTCTCTTTTGATCACACAGAAACACTAAACAGTCCTCACTACAGGTAAGAGTTTCAATTGTTTGTTATCTCACATAGGTGGTATAACATAACCTGTTTCTTTAAAACATGCAAATTTTTTTAATGTGACACATTTAGCAAATGAACTATTTCTTTAAAACATGTAGGTTCTTTTAATGTGACATATTTAGCCTATGTACTCTTTAGAATGTACATGGTTTCCTAAAATGCCACAGTCACAGGCTTTCTCTTTCAGTCATGAGGGTGTTTTAATGTTACAGTCAACCCCATATTTTGTTGTTAAATAGTAGCTCAAGAATTGGTGGTGGATGCTTTTTACTAGCTGCCTTATGTCTAGTCTATCACCTACAAATTAGGGACAGCTAGCATAGATAGCCCCTGAGCAGCTTTGTGTAAAATTTGAGAAATAAACAGGATTAGTTTTATTGTTTCTTTAGAACTTGCAATCTCTCCTATAGTAATACATTTCAGAGAGGATTTTATTATCCCAGTATAGCAAGTAGAAACATCTACTGTGTTGACATACATTGTGTTTTAATTTAAGGGGAACATTCAGTATGGAAAGAGAAGATGGCTATACCTTTGATTGCAGGATTCCTCCTTTCTCCCTCGAGAGTAAACAAGATCCCTCCAGCCCATCCTCTTCTGACTCCTGAGATTTTGTAAAGACTGTGTTGAATGGGAAGAGCTTGTTATAATTGACTTAATAAACAGCAGTTACTAAATGTAAAATGGGCTTCTCTGTTGCAGAATATTATAATGTACTATGAAAAGTGTACAGTTTTGTTTTGTGTCTGAATATCTGAGGCTTACATCTTTTATGTGTTTACAGATTTATAAATTGTCCTCTTTGGATAATTATTGTACCTTCTCAACAAAAATATTTCAGGTATCTCTCTTTATTATATCTTCAAAAGATGAAATTGTTTATCACATTTTTCTGGAAGTTTCTCAGCTGTCTGAAGGGAAGTTCAAAGATGTTTAATTTTTTAAATAAACATTTTCAGGGGAAAAGATAATTTTCTATTATAAAAACAAAAAGGGGTATGTATTCCTTTATTGCACTGTCTATGTAACAAGAAACTGTATTATATCAGAATACATAATTTGATTATAAGAGTTAATAAATTTTATGGAACATTGCACATGATTGTAGATATTTTCATCGTCTTCATAGATAGCCTATTAATGATTTTAAGAAACCAAAGTGTGTATAAAAATAAATCTTTGTTTAGAAAAGATCACAGGTAGAAGAACTTTTCATTGGATATTGGAACTCATCAGAGTAACTAGACTTGCAATGACCAAAGCTAAAATAATTTTTTTTGCAATATTCTAAAGGTTTTAAGTGCCTAATTTGATTATGTTTGTTAAATCCCTTGAAGAAACTACAAAACAATCTAATGTTAGCATACTGGTTAAAATGATAACTAAATATAATAATAACAACAACTAATAATAAAGACAATGGTTGATAAAATGAAGAACATTTTTATTTACAAAAACGTTGAACAATTTGGAATACACTTATCTCAGGATGTTTCCAAGTCATTAAAGGCCTGGTGGTGTTTTTCTTAATGACTGAAAAACATCCTTAGGCATCCTAAGATTATTCTAAATAACTTTACTTAATCCTCAGCCAGTTGGAATCTTGTGTAATTTGCAATTGTATTAGGTCTATTACAAATTTGCTTCCCAATGGCAAGTCCAAAGGCTTATAATGCTTAAAACCGGGTTTTGATACCCATGGTGGGCACAGCACAGATAGTCCTCTGTGCTTAACAACAAATTATTACACATTCTATAATTGTTTACTTCCTATTGTAACCGAATATTTCAAGTAAATTAATTATTAATGCTATTATAACATTAGTTAATAAATATCTTTATATTATTTTATGACTTTGCTGAAGATGGAATAAATGTCTTCCAAAATGTTTGAAGCTTTTATAAATAAAAATGTTTTCCATTTTAACAATGGTTGTGACTTTTATTAGACTCTGTTTTTCCTAACATGAAATCATTGCCAATAATAATAAGTATATCTAAATGTGTAAAATAATGTAAAAACGTTGTTATGATAGTGTGCAAAAGTTAAACTGTATAACAAAAAGAAACTAGCCCTTTTTCAAATTGTACATGGGAAGTTATTGTGGTCAACATTGTTTTGGAAAATATGTAGCTTTTTAAATATTTTTTATGTTAATTGCTTATATAATGGTCTTGTATTTTTTTGTTTGTAAAATGTCATTTAGTTCAAAAATAAATCGACAGACTTTAAATTGTGGCTAATGTTTGAGGTCCATTTTATTAATACATATCAAAAACATTTCGTAAAAGATAATTGGAATTTGTAATGTTATAGCTATGATAAGGTAAACGTTTGTTGTGAAATTATGTCAGCCTCTTTTCTCCTCAGTTCATTGTTATGAAAATCAGGCATCTGATGGTCAGATGTGACTTGAAATGCAAGTGATTGTTCATTCAACCTGTATGATATTTATTAGCCTTATGATCTTGTTTAATGTCACCTGGAAGTGAATCATAGAGTTTAAAGTGTTCCACAATTCTTATGGTCCTTGGCTAAACTTTACAGAGAAGAATTGTGTAAATGGAAGCCAGGCAGTTACATCAGGATGTTGTGAATTGGCTCAAAATGTTTATAGCAGAATATGGAACTGCTTCCAATCCAATGCTGCATCTGTTTGGACACCTAAAGAAGGCAGAACATCATTCACTGTTACCTACCTTTTAATTCTGACTTGCTGCAGTTTTAGAGTATAGAATCCCAGATTGGATGAGATGTTTGTAGCAGTATCAGTGGATGCCTAGAAAGATACTTCACAAGACAAGCCTGTATGCTAGATACCAAGTGAAGTGCATTCTGGAAATAGCAAGCTTCCCTGTAATGGTGCCAAAAACATGTCCAGTATACAAATAACCTTTGAAGTACTCTTCTTAGTATAGATGATTCATGCTTCATCCTGCATTCAAATAACAGAAATAAGAGAAAATCCAGAATCAGATCTACCCCATTTTTATACAGGAATGTGATCCACATGACAGTAGTGAAAATATAAGCAGTAGATAAGCATAGGTGAGCATAAAGACCTCTTTTATCCTGTGGAATGGTACCATTAATGACACATGGATGATTATATCCTGTAATCCTTTGTGCTTCCATATGGTTGTGCAGTTGATCTTGACTTCAACCTAGTTGCTTGAAGCATCATCCTTCTTTTAAAAAAACAAAACAAATTTGGCAACTGTTCAACTTCTTATTTAATTTTGTTATTTTTGTTGCCTATGCAGTTTTAACTATATTTACCTTTTTCTTACAGGTGACCATGCCTACCTTTTTTATGCTAAATTGCTTTAACACTTTTCTTTAAGAAGAATAGTAGACTTTTAGTCAATGATAATGTTCACCTGTCTTTTGAACAAACTGATGACAATATGGGCAAAAATATTAAATTAATTTCAGTACATAAAATGGAAAACATCTTTGACTTTTACCATTTAATAAAATAATCAATTCTCTGCTGTACCCTCATGTATTGTTTACAAGTAATGATATCAATCAGTACCTTGTTTGTAGGTGCTTCAGCATTCATGTTGTGTAATGAATGGTATTGTTTCTTAAGACTCATAATGTAGGTAAATTAATATGTAGAATTATACCTGAACTGTTTTCCATGTTAAAATACTTTTATTTGCAAGCTTTCAGCCCTCTTACTGGAACGTTCATTGGGCAACAAGATGAGGAATACTGCCTAAGTTTTCACTAGTAAAAACTGAAGAAGAAAAATCAGAATTTAATAACCCAGCTATTTCACAACCATCAGATACAAGCCTTCCTTTATCATCTCTCAAGAACCCTACCTCCATCATAACATTTTCTTTACCCATAACGTATTTAAAGAAATCCTTACTGTTACTTTTACATTTTCAGACATCCTTTTTTGATGTCCTAATTTCCTGTTTCTCCAACTTTCTTGATCTTCTATAATCTTCTAAGTCTCCTATCATACTAGTCAATTTAAATTTCTTAAATTTATGATGTTTTTCTTTAACTTTATCTATTATACTCTTTGTGAACTAACTTGGTTTTTACTTGCAGCTACCCTTTTCTTTCTGTAAGGAATACGTTTACCTTGAATATTTAAAAACTTTAAAAATTTTCCACATTGTGATCAGTGTCTCCAAATAACTCAGCTGCCAAATTCACAAAAGATAATTCTTGTTGAATCCCTTCAAAATTTGTAGCCAAAATATCATTATTTCTAATTTCCCTCTCGATCATTTCTATATCTAAATTGAACAGTAAATATAAAATAACATTGTTTCTAGTACATTCCTTTACCAATTGGTGAAGAAAGCCATCTTGAACAGTTTCCAAAACCCTTTCTCCCTTACCGTGTGTCTGAAATTAAAATCACCTATAATTATGACTTCATTAACAGCTGAAATCTTATCCTCATTGTAAAGTTTCTCACTAATTTCATCAGTATCATTTGGTGGTCTGTGACAAATTCCCACTAAAAGCCTTTTCCCCTTTTGTCAAATTATAGAAACCCAAATGGATTCAATCTCCTTGCTATTATCTTTGATATCCTCAACTTCAACAGGATGTAGCTCACATTTTATATATAAAGCCACTACTACCCCCTCTTTAGTACTCTATCCCTATTAAATAGCCTGTAACTCTGTATCAAAGAAGTTTCTCTCATCAAAATCATCTATATTTAACCATGTTTCAGTTATTCCCATTAAATCAAAACCCTCCATTCCCAACTGGCCCGGCATGGCCAAGTGGTTAAGGCACTCGACTCGCAATCTGAGGGTCGCGGGTTCGAATTCCTCTCACACCAAACATGCTCGCCCTTTCAGCCGTGGGGGCATTATAATGTGACGGTCAATCTCACTATTCGTTGGTAAAAGAGTAGCCCAAGAGTTGGCGGTGGTTGGTGATGACTAGCTGCCCTCCCTCTAGTCGTACACTGCTAAATTAGGGACGGCTAGCGCAGATAGCCCTCGTGTAGCTTTGCGCGAAATTCGAAAACAAACAAACCATTCCTACCAATGCTTCAAAGTCATTATTTTATTTCTTATACTTCTATCATTACTATAGTAACAATTAAGCCTACCCTTATAACTACTTCTATACTTATTTCCTATGCTAAACTTTTCTCTCGTCATATTATTTTTACATTTAGTTTATCCTGGCCCTCACCACTATCTAGTTCAAGTTTAAAACTTCCTTTACAGCTGAGTTAATAGCCACAGCAAACAAGCCAGCCTCTATCTTATTTAAATGTAAATCACCATTCTAAAAAGCTCCATTCTTCCACTGAAATGATCCCACAAATCCAAACAGCTAATCTGCTCATCCTTACATACTAACCTAGGCCAAGTTTTAGCATTTAGCCCTTATAACTTTGTCCCCACAGTTAAATCTGGGCAATATCCCTAACAAAATTAAGTTATGACCTATTTCTTTAAACGCCTTTATCAACCCCTTGTACTTATTAATTAGCTCCTCTGACCTACCTTTCCATACATCAATTAGTCCCTACATACACCACAAAAACTATCTATGCTAGCACCCTTTATTATATCCTCCATCTGTGCCCCTGGGTAGCATAATCTGATTCTTTACTCCCTATTTACTCCTCAGACTATCCTATGCACATGCTTTGTCAAGGAATCGCCTATAACTATAACCTCCTTGTCATTCACATCCTTCTCTCACCCTTTTGTTTTCTTTCCCTCCAATAGTTCGTCTGCAGAAGCCAAGAGCTGAAATTTGTTGCTCAATAGAATAGGCTCATTACAATTAAATTCACTAGTTTAACCCTAATATTACTCTTTCTAACTATTTGAAAGTCATTGTTGATGTATTCCTTGCATGTAAAAGCTTATTCTTCTCTTGAAATCCTGCTGCCATTTCCCACAGTCTATACTTCTTTTTTATATATTGCCTCTACTTTAAGTTTAAGTTGAATTATGATATTAATAGCCTTCAACTTACAAACTCTACATACAAATTGCACATCTGTATTACTAGCTTCCCTAAAACTAAAAGTACATACCAGTTCCAAGTTCCCAATGAAAACCCACTCATTTCGCCCATTACACCTAACAAACTGTGAACTCTTGAAATTCATACACTAGTCATACACCATTGAACTTATACCTATAACCTGAAAATATTTAATACTACTACCAGTAGCCTATTGTCAACACTGTTATTGTTAAGCCTAACGGTTAAGAACCAATTACATTATTTATCATTAATTAATAAATTTC